CAAATTCCTGGGATTAATTTTCGACCATAAGCTCAAATGTAACGCACACATAAAATATCTTAAGAAATCGTGCACAAAAAACATCAACCTTTTGAAAGTTATAGCCAATCATAGCTGGGGAGCCGACAGTAGCACCCTTCTGCAACTCTATAAAGCACTTATAAGGTCCAAACTTGATTACGGCGCCATAATCTGCTCCACAGCCAGCCAGTCCACCCTCAGACAACTAGATGTCATTCAGAACACTGCACTATAGACTTGCCTTAGGTGCCTACAGAACAACCCCAGTGGACAGCTTGTACACGGAAGCATATATGACCCTCCTCTACGAACAAGACGTGTCCGTATCAGCCTGGAGTATGCCGCAAGAGTGACAGCCAACCCTACCAATCCTACTCGCGCCCATATATTCACTAACCGCTTCCACAATATCTACGAGCAAAATCCCAATATTACACCACCATTCAGCAGAAGAATCTCTATCCACAATAAAAATTTCTCCTCGATCATACCAAACAGTGTCACATACTCACCTCCTTGGACAGTCAGCCTCCCAAAGTGTAACATTACCCTCTCCAAATACCAAAAACAAAATACTTCCCCGTCCCGCTGGAGACAACTCTTCCATGAACTAAAAAGTTGTTACCAACAGCAGAACTTAATTTATACGGATGCTTCAAACATGGATGGCAGTAACTGGATAGGGGTCGCCGTAGTAACTAACACAACAACCCATTAGTACCCACGTGTCCAGCTTCATGCTCAGTTTATACCGGAGAAGTGTACGCCATCTTGATGACAATTCAATTAGCAAAAAACATGACCCGCCCACTCTCAGTCATCTTCACAGACTCTGTAAGTGCGGTGCAAGCAGTCCAGAAATTATATCCCAAACACCCGATACTATTAGATATCAAAAGAAGCCTCCAGGAACTGAGATCTCAAACCAAAGATATTGAAATCGTATTGATACCCTCTCACGTAGGCGTCCCTGGAAATGAGAAAGCAGACGCTGCTGCAAAGAGAGCGTGTAACCCAGTAAATACCATTCCATTACCGAGAATTCCCTGCTCTGACATGAAGAGTGAAATAAAAATAATCGAAAAAAGACTATGGCTATGACATCAATCCGGACCTAACACCAAATTCATCGACCGGACTCAACAGGTGGAGCCAGGTAGTACTCAGCAGACTAAGAATAGGACACACTAGGTTAACGCATTTTCCCCCAGTTTCAACTTCATCGCCACGTCAGAAAATGATCTTGAAAACCGCGAATAAGAGTCGATTCCTCGTTGAGTTAATAAAATAATATGCTTTATTGTCTGAAGAAGAATCTTGTTGATGAAGATAGTTCAGATACTATTGTGAAAAAGGGTTAAAATATAATGACATTAAAATACGTGACAATATAGTCAGAATAGAGTTGATAGAGATCCTTATGCAATCAGACCGTAGAATTGTACTTACTTCCAATAAGATATAGGTGTGCTTCCATAAGAAGTGAGATTAAAGTTGATTAATTCATTACTTTCTACCAATGCATCATGGTTTTCAAAATAATACTCATTATTGATTGTTTCCTAATATTTTATAATTCAGTATAAGGAATATGGACAAACTATACTTTTTTCAAACATATTATTTCACGGGGATTCATCATGAGAAAGTAACAAATACAATAGGCGAGAACACAATAGCACGAATTCAGTTCAAATGTTCATAATAAATAAATATAACATTGAAATAATGTGTACCAGTAGTTTTTTCAACAATAAATGCTGTCATTATCCAAAGAACGCGTTTGCAAAACCATACAAATTTGTGGACCATTCAAAAAACCAATAATGGCGGATACGTGATGACGTAACAAGTATTGGCGTGCATTTGGCAACGCTGTACTGTACCTTCAAAATATTCTACATATTTCCTAACCTAAGAAACCGAACTCCTAAAGTCCTAAACATCAAAACATCAGACTTTTTCTTTGATTTTTCATTTGCTTAATATTTTCTTGTGTAATCAAAATATTCAAATCATTGTGACTATTATTGTGACATAGTCTGATGGGTTCATGTTTATTGATTGGAGATATGAAGCCAGTATTCGAAAAAGCAATCACAATCTTCCAGTAGTTGATTCAACTATGGTTTTTGAATTCTGCAAGTTAAAAAAACTGGCATGAGCTGTTTCATAAAGGTGAAGATTAGTCCAGAACATAAAGTTCGTCCTAAACCATAAAGGGTTGAGGCTGAGGTTCATGAAGCTGAAGAAACTGTAGTCTGGATTGTGCAGTTTCAAAAGGTAAAAGGTACATAAATTCTTGACTTTTTTATAAACTATATTCTTTTATATTCTTAGGTAGATGTAAACACAGTGTGGCTTTCTTATTATGGTTACATGGAAGATCAGAAGAACCCTCTGTACCTTCTATGGAGTGTTACTGAAAAGTGTCCAACTCAGTGTCCAAACTACCAAATTTTTGAGCTTCCTATCAACATTCATGCCACTTGTAGAATTAGCACCACAACAAGTTCCTACCCTCCCAGTGGTTCCATCAAAATTTCTTGAAGTTGTTTTTCAAGTAGATGGAAAACATGGATGCCAAGGATAACTGTTTTCGAGACAGTTTGATTCTGATTCATAAGCTAATTATTTTGTCCAGAAAACATTCATCCAATTTGTCTCCTAGGGGATTCCAAGACTACATTCATCAGAATATCAGTGACAGTGATTGTGAATTGGTGCAAGATATAAAAATGAATCAAAACGAATCATCATTATCAGCATGGTTTGAAGTTTGCTATGGAAGAATTACTGCTTCAAAGTGCACAAAGTGCAAGACATTCGAAGGTACATTATATGAGCAGGAGAATTTTGAGAATAATGGTAGTTTTCAGTTACTTGAAGTGTGATATGACCCTATATTCCTTTAGAAAATTATAAAAGATGCTGAAAATTTGTGGCAAACTGTTAATTCCACCCATTTAATAAAATTATAAAATAACAGTACTACAGTAGTTTTTTTCTTCTCTTATTTCAAAATTGGACTTATTTAGAGCTCACCAGTGTCTTATGAATAACATATTTCATCATACACAACTTCGAAATCCCTTCTCATATTGATCATACACTATATCTTCACAAACTGGAGATGGTAGGTATATGAAATTCATGTTTACTTCTTGTCGAACAACCTGGTTCATTCATATTTTATTGTCAGTGGAATATTGGTAAGAAAGATGAATACCTATCATAACACCAAAAAAGTAATGAAAGTAGTAAGAAAAAAATCCAGTAAGTATAAACCAAGAGAGCACTGGCATATCTAGAAATGATGGAAGATGCAACATCAATTCTCAATGCAAAAAACAAAATCATACAAGCCAAAATTACTAGATAGGTATTGCCACTATTTCATGTAGGGAAAATTTGTCAAAAATGTAAAGGAATAGGTCTCGGAATAGGTAGTACACAAAAATTATCAAAATGAAGCAAGAATGCTCAAGAATGTTGGTTGAAATTTTCATTTATTGTCCACTTTATGCAGTAGATATAATTAGAACAGTTAAATATTAATAGATATATTTCATTTCTAGAATGAATATAGATGTACAACATGGAAATATTATATCAATATCTTGTCCAGATCATCACAAAGTTTTCAAGAAAACAAATAAACTTAATCATGATGGTAAAAATCACAAACATATTTGTATATCAATCAGCAACAGTCCTGAGTCATTTTATCATAATATGTTATGGGACTGTCAATTTGGTTCTGGTTCATAGTATTTGATGTCAGTCTCTTCCATGACAGGTTACTTTTCAGGTTCTTCAAGAAAACTTTTTCAACTGAAACACTCACTGGTACTTCCAAGAATTTTCCTCAAGGAGAGTCAATATGATTTGAGGAAAGTTCCATTTTATCTCATCCCCCAAATTCTCAAGGGATTATTGAGATCTCCTTTTCCGTGCTGAAGATGAAAGTTAGGATTTTGATGGGTCTTTTCTCAGTTTTGGACGTTTAATGAATATGGAATCACATCTTCAGGCATATAAACTCTAGATCCAATGAGTTTTGATTCCACCCAGTTCAACATGTCATATTCAAGCTAGAACAAAATGAGTATGATCAATCCATATTGAAGAAAAAATTCTACTCACATCAAAACGATCCTCACAGCAAAATATATCATTTGATTCCAGGTATGGTTTATCCATATACTTTGTTCAGTGTTGATTAAGCAGGATGGAACCAAGTTTGTGGCATTTCCTTACAGCCACTGCCATCCCAGGAATGTGAATAAACGTTGATGAGAAAAAATAAATAATTCGATGGCACGAATAAAAATAATATTGGCCGACAAAAATAAATAAACAATAAAATAAAATAACAACTGACAGTAGTGACAGATGAACGAATTGTCAACTGTCCACACAGTCAACAGTCCAGAAGATATCAAGCGACGTTGCCGGATCACCGTCTAATACTTGTCACGTCACATTAACGCGCGATATTCCAGCTCGTTTGAACGGGATCAATACTTTGCAAATTTTTTGTGGAAAAACTACTTCGAATAAAAATCTGAAAAAAATACCTGAGACTTTTATCGTCATACTAAAGGCCATGGTATTTTTTCCAGAAATTCGTGTTCTCGCCTATTCGTGTGGAACCAATTCCTCATTATTCTGTATGTTCCAATGAAGCCATATGAGAGAAAACGGTGAAAATAGCTTCCTAGCTCTGATATTCTCCCTAGGTACGCACGATGTTCTTCGAACATTATAGTGATTCCCTTTCGCTCCAAGAGAGTAAAACATTTGGAAGCTTTTCTTTCATACAATAGACTGTTTAGAAAATGTGTCGGGAAGTACTGGGGAGTAAGTTGGAATTAGTCACCTGATGATGATAAAATATATCTAATAACTATAATAGGTACATATACAAAGTTTCAAAAAGTGATTATTTATTATGGGGAGAAATAAGACATTTCATTGATAAAATAAATTTTTTGTCCTTGTATACATTGTACAGTAGACAAATACTGATAATACTTACAACAATGAATATAACAAAACCATATTTTTTCCATACAATTCAATTCATATACCTACATACAAAACCATCACATTTTTAAAAGAAAAAAATACACTTGATACTATCAAACTCAGCCATCCTTATTCGAATAAAATCACAAGTAGAATTCTTTTTCTAATTCAACAGTATAATAAATAAAATCATTAATATGTACAATCAATAAAATAAAACTAAAAAATGGTCATGAAATTTGCACTAAAGCGCGGGACCAGCGTCTTCATCGAAGTTCGAGAAACGGTCATTTTTCTCCTCTATCCGATGCATGTTTTCTAGGGTCGCAGCCATAACTCGTAAATTGTCAACCCCAGTAAGTAATTGTCTAGAGGAGAATACAAGATTCATTATTATGTCTCATTTGAACAATACATGAAGAATTATGAATAGTTATTTATTATACAAGGGAAAAAAGTAGTAGATTTTATCTCCAAAAAACCGTATATTTTTCCCGTGTATAATACATTATTTTTTTCTGTGACAGAAGAAAGGACGAATCAATATTGAGAAGATGTTACATTATTTTGAAATCTGAAAATTATCGACGTGAAATTTTAAGTTTGTAACAGTAGGGACACCTGCGTTGTAGGCATCTTTATCATTCTTTTGAAGTAATCAAATATCTGATGTCACTTCTGTCAGTCTGATTCTGTGATTTGATTTCAAATTGCGGATTTAGTGGTTGTTTGGTGATATACGTAACCGCGAAGTCGAATGAAAGATGAAAGGACTTCTTCTCTTCTTCTTTCTCGGAGACGGTATTATTGACTCATTTTTCGGAAAAAAGTAATTTGAGAAAAGTGACATTTCATAACCTGCCAACGGAGATGAAATGCCAAACTTTTTTCCCGTCACAGAAAAAAAAACAATAATTTATCAGAATATCGGACGGTATAATTTATCATCAAGGCATCTACATTTCTGCAGTTAAAATGTAGTACAGAGTTCGTATTATTATTGTTAATCCCCATTTCTTGTTTCAATTCAAAATTGTTTCTGATGATCGAATATATTAACAGGGTGTCCCGAAATTAGCCTGCCAAACGTCACCAGTGGCTTCTTTGATCAAAAATAGGAAGAAAAGTGTCAATGAACATGAGACGAGATATGTCTCCTAGGGGAGCTACGGCCCCCTGAAAGGGGGCTTCTGAAGATGATATTTCTTCAGTATTTCCGACACTCCTTGTGATGAAACTATGCAATGTAGCACAAGATCGAAACTTTCCATGACCAATGCAGAGGAAATAAAATAATTTCAAAATTTCACTCAGGAGTGTATAATACAGGGTGGGACTACATTCAATATTGCTCGAAATTTGTTGTATGCATATTTTTCGACAATTTCATCTAAGTTTATCAAAATCCACACCTCTTTACAGAAAAAAAAAGTACTCTTGTTCCGTAACGATCAGACGTATCATTATCGAGTAAAAGCGATTTAAAAAATATTGTTACATCTCAGATATTATGCATAACATAACAATGAGTCGAAGTCGTAATGGAAAAAAAGTCAATTTTTTATCATCATTTTCCTATTTTTCGCGCTTTTGTGAGAATGTTTGATAAAAAGAAAGTAGTTGATTTTATATTGATAGTTTTATAGCCACTATGATTTGAAAATTGGTAACGTTATGCATAAAATATTTTTAAGTCGATTTCACTCGAAAATGATACATGTGATCGATGCGGAACAGATGCACTTTTTTATGTGAAACGATGTGGATTTTCATAATCAGAGATTAAATTGTAGAAAAATATGTATACAAAAAAGTTTGAGCAATATTAATTGTAGTCCCAACCTGTATTATACACTCCTGAATGAAACTTTGGAAATATTTTATGTTCATCTCATTGGGCATGGAAAGTTCAGTTCTTTTACCAAACTGCAGTTTGGCAGGCTCATTTCGGGACACTCTGTATAGTTTTTCAATACAGATATCACTTCCACTGACAGTTTTGTAGTGGATAAGGCCAGAGCACCACCAATACCTAAAATTATTGTTCGATTTTGATGAAACCAAATATGAAATGACTTTAGTAAGCATTCATTAATTTTTAACGACTGTGAATTTTTCTGCCATTGCTTCCGAATGACAGTTAGTTTTCCACAAATGATATTAAAATTATACTTTCACAGTATAGGCAGAATAGGTACTGCCTAGGAAGAAAAAGATTGTTGCTAAGCAACGTTCAAAATAATAATCTAAATCAAATTGGTAATCAAAATTGACAATGACTTTGGGTGAACACAGAATGGTGGATAATTTGAACGTGCGTAAAATTGAAACGAAGTGGGAGCAAAAATTATGTTTCACATGACAGAAAAGAAGATTCAATGTGATGGCTGATTTCCTAGCCTCGGTTACGCCTTGGCTATGAAAAGCCAGTCGCGGCATTAAATCTTGTGCTTTTCTGCTTAGTAAAACAGATAACTATTTTCTCCAAATAACATTAAAAGTGGCTTTTTAATGATACTCAACAGGCATAAAAGGTGTATTTTCATGCCTAGGCAGATCATTTTTGTTGCTATGCAACATTCTAAGTAATAATTTGAATGAAATTAGTAATCAAAATTGGCAATGACATTGGGTGAACATGAAATGGAAGATATTGATTTTTTGTCAGCTGTTTCTCATCATACAGGGTGTAGAAAAACTTGTGAATTGGATATACCGAAAAATAATTAATATTTTCATCAGATAGAGAATGCGAATTCTCGATGTAGGTATTTCTTTATATGTATGCATCCCTTTTTTTTCATGTTCATGATATTATATCTAAGAATATTTCTTTCCAAAGATATTGGTATAGTTGAATATTTCACACACTTTTCCAATGTGAATGGAGTCGAGAATGTTGCTTTTTCTGTTGCTAATTTCAGCCAAATATCATCTAATTGTCAAGATGCACCATATTGGTGGAATAAACAACATAGTGGTGATGTAAAACAACATCGATTTCGTCGAAAATTAATTAGGAAAAATAAGGGTCGCTCATGATTTCTGATATTTGATGAAAAACATAATGGAAAGGGAAGATGATGTGCTCGACAGAAAGGTCAAATTCGTCTTGTTCTGCGCATGACGTCAACTGGGATATAAACGTCATTGTTATTATTTGTTTTCCTGATCCATGTCTCAAACCTCAGATATAATATGAGTTCTAAAATTGAATGGAATAATTTCAAAATGTCCACTTGGTTCGTTTTTGGATATGGAAATTCCAACTAATATACAAAAAGGGACAGATATTGAATAATTCTGTTTTTCCAAGAATGGAGACCTAATAAATGATGAGTGGAAGCTTGCTGGCGACCGAAAATAAACTCAAATAATGGTACCTACCCTATATTCCTTATACCTTCATTCCAAAGCATCCACCTATTAAATCATTATTACATTCATATGCCAGCACGTATTTGTTCGAAACATTTCCATGCAAAATATTCTCAAACAAGTTTGAAACTACAGTTGTTGAATTACACACCTCCAAAAAATCACAAATATTTGAAACAAGATGCCATTCCTATACAACATCTTCCGTCGAACATCAAGTTAGTAATAATTGGAAATGAATTCAAAACACTAAATTTCTCACAAATATAAATTGCAGCAAAGTTTTGAATAACCAAACGGCAAAAAATACTCCTGCTGTCGATGTCAAAGCAGAAGCAACGCCACCGTCGTTAACTACTGAATTTGAATCTGTCAGAATGTATTTGCTATTTGCGATTCCGAATTACCGCAAGATCACAAATTCCAGAATCAATAGAATAGAAAAATCGAAGGAATAGGTACCATTTATATAAATTGATTATTTCTAGACAGATCAAGAAACTAATAGAACTTTCAATGAACTTGATTGAATTCATAGCGCACGGTTATGGCAACGGCATCTGTCTTTGACTAGCACCTGTCATTAGTTGCGGTTTATTTGTTCCATTCTGGCAACAGTCGTGGGACCTGAATGACGTTTACAAATAGAACGAGAAACTTCATGAACTGGCAATCCTTACATGAAAGGAATTTACATATTATAAAGGATAGATGTTATATTTGTATATTGGGGCTCCAAATAATTTCAAAATCATAATACTAGAGTTGAAAATCAAGAAATAGTTATTTATGTATTAAGGGAATTATGAGGGCCTTAATTACCGATGGCAAAGTTTGCGTCCCGAGGGCCTCTGGCCCGAGGGACAGCAATTGCCAGAGGTTATTAAGGCTCTATAATTCCCGTGGTACATAGATAATTTCATTTCTGACCGATTTTCATAACAATATGTCCATATTTAGAAAGCAATAAATGTTTAAATTCATAACCTTTCTGGTATATTTGAATTAGGTAGCGTTGATTGTAGCATTGTTGGTTGTTGCTAGGTTGTCGCTATGTTACATGTTTATTTTTTTTAAGCGGCGGAAGTAATTTTCAGGGAACATTTGAAAATTGAGCATTTATCATTTGTAATGACGTGAATAAGGAAAATATGTCCTAGTTTTCATCACATATAAACGTTTATAAGCATTTCTTGTATCATTTTCACCTGTAAAGGGTATAAGGGTGTTTTTGAACCTCAATATCCCAAGGGAGTTATGACCCTCATTATAGATATCGTTACTATGACGATATAAGCTTATAATGTCACTGTCGGAAATAAATAAATTAACGCATACTTGGAGCAGTGATTGTGGTGATTGGAGAAAGTTCTCCGAGATCGAGAGAATACATTTTATCTGGGAATGAAGATATGAAACCTGTCTTACTCGAAAGAATCATAAAAATGTCTTCTTAAATGTCTTCTACTTTCGAAAAGTTTCGTTTTTCGTCAATCTAATTTCATTTTTTGACAACTGTAAAAATTCATTCACGTCATTCCTTGTAGAGACGGAATGATAAGAAGCAACCGGAATCGGAAAAGTTGCGACTAAAACGACACATTGAAGTGGTTCCGGTGCCGTAATGCGATGAATAAAACGCAACTATTGGTAACCCAGATGACGTCACATAATATTTGCATAGTCACACCATCTTCTCCTTCTCCTAGAAATATGAACAGTTCCATTTCTTGTTAACGACACAGTATTTGGTTTCATGAGGAGAGTGGAGCAAATATTGAAGTAATTTTGTACAAAAAACATTTTCTCCGTGAGAAAAAATTAGAAAACCATACCAACTTCCTATTCAAAAAAGAGAGACGCTGAAGTACAGGTTGGGTAAATTAGCATCCTTCAAAGCGAGAGAACAGTTTACCAGCCAAGGCGTAGCTTGAGCTGGTAATGTTCACGTGCTTCAAAAAATGTTTTCGAAGAGTGAAACACTATACTT